GCCCGCCTCAGCGTTGCACTACAAGGAGTCATTGAAACTCTCCGTGAGAAGGATAATGTGTTGTATCAGCAAAGCGGTGTGAGACGGTGCTGGACAGTGCAAAGCGCTGAGGAGGTGATGCTTGATCTCAAACGTAACTCCTCTTCTCTTCGTGACCATGCTCCTCGCACTGTTGATTTCACAACTATGTATACCAATCTTCCTCATGACCGTATTTGTCATAATGTTTCAAAAGCGGTCGAGGAAGCCTATACATATGCCTTACAACAGCACACACAGCAGCGCACACATCCTCCTACCCTTAACATGATTGTTAAAGGGCCTCGTCAAGGGGAGTGGACGGTTGATACCGGACCAAACACCTTGAACATCTCCATTTCATTGTCACAAACACTTATCTTTATGCAGCGGACGACACCTTGCGACATCAGTTGATTGGGATCCCGATGGGGACTAATTCTGGTCCGGAGAGAGCTAATTTGACGTTGTATTGGGATGAGGCTCGATTTGTTGATGACCTCCAGCGGCGTGATCTTCGCACAGCTCAACGGTATGCGTTCACATACCTCTTGATCGATGATGTTCTCTCATGGGGACATCTGCCACCACCGTCAGAGCACTATGGCCTCGAATGGAAGGAGACCACAGCGCCTGATGGCTCTTGCACATTCTTGGGTGCAYGCCTCCAAGTCMKCCCTGACGGCTCCCTGCGTATGAGTGTCTTTGACAAAGCAGCTGAATGGAATTTCCCTGTTATTCGTTATCCTAGTGCTACATCTAACGTCCCTGCACACCAGCCGGCGGGAGTGTTTACAGGCCAGCTTACTAGGTTTGAGTATGTCTGCAACAACTGGTATGATTTCAAAACTGCAGCAGCGATGCTCACACGCCGCATGCTTTTTCGCGGGCACTCTCCAACAACGCTTGCGAAAGGATGGACTTCCTATATTCGTAAACGTCAACACAGGTACCCTGCGCATGTGACCCACCTCTTCAGCTGGTTCCGCAACATGCTTCGATGGTCTATTCATCACCTACTTCGATGGTCTATTCATCACCCGCTTTCTCGGGTATCTACACACTCTCCTCGGACTACGCCTGTCACAGCCCCTTCCTCATTATCGGCGCCTGTCACACCTATCACAGCCTCTTCTTCATTACCTTCGTCTGCCGCACCTGCGTCCTCATCAGTCTTAGTAACCCCTTCCATACCGTTTGTGACCCTGGCTGCCCCTTTTCGGTTCGCAGCCTCTTCCTCATCGGCCTTGGTTGCTTCTACGATTGATTCAGCGGGAGCAACTCGACCCGCACCTGCTGTGTCACCCTTGGTCTCGGTGTGTTCCTCCATGGCATCCGTGGCCACCGCAGCCGTTGTGTCGCCCTTGGTCTCGGCGTGTTCCTCCATGGCATCCGTGACCACGGCATCTGTTGTGTCGCCCTTGGTCTTGGTGTGTTCCTCCATGGCATCCGTGGCCATGCCTGCATTACCACATGCAGAGTCCCCTCTTCGGGTCTCACCTACAACTGCCCCCCCTGTCTCTGCTTCAGCCACTTCACCACCCCTGACTTCATCCCCCCCATCTTCACCGCCTTTATTTCCCCTGGTTTTATCGTCGTTTGTTACCCACCTTCCGACTACTCTACCACCCCTGTCTTCACCACTCCTACCTCCCCTGGTTTTGTCTCCATCCGTTACCCCTCTTCCTAATCCACAAACCACTTCGTCCACACAGACTCCGTCATCATGTTCAGCCCCTGCAGAAAGCCTACTTCGTCGTCGTAGACGCCGACTTCGACCTACTTCCCAACCTCAGCTTACTCCCCTTTCCTCCATCTCTGTTCTTGGACGAAGAAGAACCCGTTCATTCTCCCCACCACGGCCCTCCCCAACATCCCGTCCCCGTCTTTTGCCGCCTCAAGCATCCTTACCACGCCTGCAACGCTCTTCRACTGCAGACCTTTCTGCAACGCGACAAACACAAAATGGGAGGGATGATGGCGAGGGACCATCTGAGGATGAACTTGGCAAGGGGACTGTAGGAGATTCTGTAGAAAATCCGCCTGACTGGCCTCCACCGAATCTGTGTGGCCTCGCTGCTACTAACATCTGCCTACAAGCCTATCGTCGGGAACCATATACTCACTCTGATTTCTTGGCCATTGCTTCCGATCTTGATGCTCAGGAACGTGAGTTATATGGCGATAACCCGTCTCTGCATCCCCCACAGGATAGTAATTACACTCGACATGGGGGATTCAATGTCTCTGTTTTGGAGACTGCTTTGATAAGGCGCCGGCTTGATA